TTACGTAACGCTGCGGCGCCGCTGCGGCACTGCAGGGCACAGATCGTCAAGTAGATCTAGATAACCTAACATCTTGATAACACACTATATTCGTCTCATAACTCGAGCAGTGATCGTGTTAAAACTACAGCCTCTTTTCACTCGCTGAGGGCCGGACGATGCCAATAGTCAATGGATCTTCTGCCGAGTGCTGACGGGCTTGAAACGCCCGACGCCCGCAGCCGCAACGCTTACGTAACGCTGCGGCGCCGCTGCGGCACTGCAGGGCACAGATGGTCAAGTGATGTTACGCGGTAGTCCTTCCGAGATTTATTTTGAGCTGATTCAACGCTTTGAAAAAGGATAGAACATTTTGTAACCATAGCGTTTCCTAGATCGAGTTATAATTACAATAAAGGGCATATTTACGAGTCAATCTTTGATATTTTTTCGACACTGGCAAACAGATGTTAAAAAATCGAAACGTGTATAATTCTTAAGGATTCTCAAAATGTTCAGCTAACACTGTTAATTGTTTTAAAACTGGTATTAAAATAGGAACAATAGGAGGCGAAATACAACAAAGAACATTCACCAACAGAATCACGAAACTTGGATTATTCCATTGATTTATTATCATTGACTAGCCAATAGCCAGTCAGTACCTATGCAGGCTCGGGCTCTGATAGTACCTACATACATACATATATCAGGCCTATATCCCTTGCGGGGAAGGTAGAGCGTAAATGGCTGTAAAAAACGGTTGACAAAAGATTGAGATTCATTCAGAAGGCTGTGTATCACCATAGTGACAGATTGTCAGCCTGTCGCCTAAAATTGCAATACACATCAACTCTCAAAATCCCATAGTCGCTTCATACGACACCCACGGGAAAGATAGGGAGTGATGCCATTCTAAACCGGCACCACACGGCAAGCGTGAAAGTCGCAAATGATGAAACTGGCTTATTCCATTGATTTATTGTCATTGACTGGCCAATAACCAGTCAGTACTATGCAAGCTCGGGCTTCGATAGTCAACATAATTATTGGCACATTAGTTCATGCCCCATTTGCAATTGTGCACCGTTTCTAATGGCGCGAGAATTTACGACCTACTGACTTTGCGTTATCTATAAATTACTTGATGGATTTTGCCTTGGGAATATTATTTTCTAGTCCTGAAACATTACCAGTATTTGTCCAATATGTGGCGATAATTACTGTTTTCATGGCCTTTAACATTCTACCTACCCCGCAAGGGGTATAGGCGTGATATACGTGTGAAACCGTCGGTCCGTAGCTACATTCTTACGTAAAACTCAAACTAACTTTTATTCTGCATTCTGAAATAACGCAAGCAAAGCATTAAAAAGTTTCGTAGACTTTTACTACGCCACCGTAGCAAATTGTAGCAAGTTACTACGCTTAACTCTACGGATGTGGTTACGCAGGTAAGGTACGACCGTTTTAACTTAAATGGGACTTAGGGGTTTTAATTTTAACTGTTATTATTCTTACTAAGTTGTAGGGACGGAAAATAAAAGGAAGCTTAGGCTAATGCTTCTTTTTAACAAAAACAAAGGATTAAGAGATTTAGGATCCTATTCAAATTAGGTAAATAAATAAAAGTAATAAGGATTAGGGTCCTTTTCAAGAGCTGTACACAAAATAGGATGTTAGGGTAGCATAGACCTTAGGTATTGGAGTTGGGTGGATACTGTGGGTATTAATGACCTGAACAAAGTTCGATCTTTGTTTTCAATACCCTTTTTACCGGTATCGGACCTAGAATGTAATGACATTTCAGGCTTGCCTGTGGATAAGACAGACTGAATAATCTTATTTAACCGGTGGAATTCTCTATATTCGTATAGTAAGTAGCGTCTACCGTAATTAATTTTGCAAATATCTGCCCTAATCGGGAATCGAACTTGGACCTTCGGTATAGCAGCTCGACGCACAACGCAGTATTCACTACGTCAAAACATCCTCCTTACTTTAATACTGTGTTTCGTTGTCATGCGAAAATGCCAGGTCTTTTTCGACTTCCAGGTTATCTCGCCCCATCGTGGACTCTATCACAACCTTTATTAACCTAAAATAAGGCCATCCGCTTCGTGACGCGTATTGTCCGCGCGTACCCGCAATGCGAAGACTCGTGCGAAGTTCACTCACTTCATCTGCACCTCTTGGAGTATAGTGAACTTCGCACGCGGTCCGGTACGCGCTTACAGGTCTGCCTGATACAGCGGACGGACTAAGACCCAATATGTAAGGCCACTTCAGATAAGACTACTTATAATACTAATGCTAACTCCAGTTTTCTTTTTCCTCAGGTCAAGATCCTCGTCCCCAACTCCACCGCTGGCATGATCATCGGCAAAGGCGGCAACTACATCAAACAGATCAAAGAGCAGAGCGGTAGTTACGTGCAGATCTCGCAGAAAGCGAAGGAGTTGTCGCTTCAGGAGAGATGCATCACTGTTGTTGGTAAGATATTTCCTATTGAGTCCCTTCCACACCGTAATTCAAAGTATTATGATTCAACCGATATGTCTTCTGCAAAAAAATAAATAAGAAGTCGTCAAAAAACTAAATCAGAGGTCTCCTAGTCATTCATCCTACACGCAAAGACTAAAACTAAGTGGACTAGCTCTCCATGTCAGCCAATCTTGTACCTTGCGTAGATTTGGAGATCTAGGTCTGGTACTCCTACTTTAGCATGAATCAAGAGGGTTATAATCTTTTACTTTGCATCTCTTACCACAATCTCTACTTTCTTATCCTCGAGGCGATGTATGTGTAGCCAAGACTTCTCTACAGATACTGAATCATAGAGTAGCAATTTTCCATTGTAAGTCAGGCAGTGTAGAAAACCTCTAAATCTTGCGGCCAATACCTAATTTATTATGCTCATTGTTTATCTTTATAAACGCAAGCAGCGTTGTAGGAGAGAATTCGTGTCTCACAGTCCAAAAGAGACTTGCAAAACATAAACGTATACTTCTCCAAAAATTATGCCAAGGCCGTCCTAGATTTAATAGGTCCCCTACACACGCCATTGCGTGATTCTATCAGCTGTTAGCTGTTGACCGCAAGAAAGCTGTAATCCCCATTTGATAACATCAGTCGGACGAACACTCGTAAATACAGTTTCATTAGTTTATGGCCTTTGCGTGCGGACGCGGACTGCCAAATTAGCTGGTACAAAACTTTTGGTCGTAAAAACACTCCCAGTGTTAAAAAAGTTTGGTACTTTGAGTCTGAATATTTTAATGCGTTTTCTTTTCTGCTACCTATAAATGTACCTGGGATTACATGCCTTGAACCTACGCGTTTTGAGACTCCTGCTCATTTCCTACCCGGTTTGAGGATACCTTCTTCTATTATAATAATACATATAAACTGCGTCTAGACGAATATCCTAGATTTTCGAACTTACCTGCTATAATTCTGGGCGCACAAAAGTGTGTCTGTCTGGTGTCATGTACACGATAGGTAAGAAGATGGATTTTTCATAATAATGTTGTACCTACTTAGTTATGTGAAATAAATATTTCTTTCTGACTGTCTTCATCGTTTCGTTATTGGGGAAATACTTGTGATTTTATTTTCTGTTTCTATTTCAATACCCAATACGAAAAGTCCGTAGTTTGTATAAAGAAAATGTCGACTTTTCTACGCATGGTGAAAATGGGTGCGAAATTGGCCTCAATCGACGCCGGGCCAATCTAGCAATTTAGTCATTATGGCGACGCACGCTTCGATGGTTTGACTTTTGATTATTCGGTCTACTTACGAAATCTTGATTTCGACCAGATTTAAAATCTGGGGTTTTGCTGTACCTACTTCACCGACCTAATCTCATGTTAATTGACTGAAATGTTATAGACCTTTAAGGAAGTCTAGGTAAAAATGTCTTAAACACACATAAATCAAGCCTTAAATCCTTCGCGAAGAAGGCAGAGCGTTAGCGGTCGTAAATGTCGTAAAACACTTGACAAACTTTTCCCGTAAACTAAGGTGTCCTTTACATGTGTAAAATGGCTTATCCACTACTACAAAAAGTAAGTAAGGTTAGTAGTTTATAAACATGCAAGATGATTAGATGAATTAATTATCCCTTTTCTTATAACAAATTGAACCATACCAAAAACTTTGTCCTTTTAGACAAAAAAGTCCCTTCCCGTTTCTTATTTACGGGGTGTTAGGGACGGTGTAACGAAAACTTTGCAGGCGTGCTCAGACCATGAAACTGAACAACTTTTACTATGGAGCCAATAGTGTGAAACGAAAAAAAAATTCCGACCACAAAGTCAGTACAAAGTCAGATCAAAAGTACCATACAAAGTCAGTCAGCTGATCGTAAATTTTGTATGGGAGGTCAGAAATTTTTTTTCGTTTCCCACCATTGGCTCCATAGTAAAAGTTGTTTAGTTTGATGGTCTGATCATGCCTGCAAAGTTTTCGTTACACCGTCCCTAACACCCCGTATTTCGCCAAATAAATTTGATACACCTAGTTTTGCCCACTCATCTTCTATACTTATAAAAACAACCTTGTGCTCCACTTACAACTATCCGACGTCACACAGTGGGCAGATCGCTGGTGTGGGCGAATAGAATGATCTCCTTAAGAGGCTACTGGATCTATTATTAAACCGTCCGTTATCTAGATTGATCTATCTACTGTTGTAAGTGTTAGTTATGTTGACATTGGGTAGATTGGTGTTGTTGTAGCCAAAAATAGGTAGGTATTGGATATAGCCCCCGCTAGGATCTTTTTATAAGATCATCCACATAGGGAAAAAACACAAAATTATACAGAAATGACGACCAAACACGCACAAATCTCAAATACAAATCTTTGCATTGGACCTACTCTTATTGCGTTTTTAAATTTTTTTTCGTAATCTAGAGTGTCCTGTGTTGCGAATGAAAGACATTCATAGTCCAAATAATATTTGCGCAACAGTGAATGACACGTTTTAACAATTTTTGGAAAACTTCCAAAATTTTCACCGCAGGCAGGATTTGAACCTGCGACCTTCGACATCAGTACTGCCGACTGCCGACGCCCTAACCAACTGGGCTACCGCGGTTCCAATCGAGCCCGCGAAATTAAGGAAGTATATCTTGTCCCCTATCGCGTGGATGGGAATTAGTTGCAAAACTATCCCGGTAGATGGAGCCCAGTAACCTAACACGAGAAGTGTTTTAAAATTTGGTATTCAACGTTGTTAACAGTTATCTGCATGGATTTTGAACCAGCACATTTTAGGAAAACAATACCAATCAAAGTCGAATTGTTGAATCCCCAAATATATATTCATCATCATCTTCCTGCCCTTATCCCAATTACTTGGGGTCGGCGCAACACGTTTCGTTGAAAACAAAATCGTGTTGCAAAAGGATTTGGCAGAATTTTACGACCGGCCGCCTACCAGACGTCAACCCTCCTTGGGAATGCTTTTGTGGTGGATTAACCACCACCATACGGTTGGCCTTGACTGTTTGGGTCGGATGTATCCCTCAGTCGCCTCTTACGAGCCCCACGGGAAGAGAGGGGGTGGTGCTATTCTACTCTGCCGGCACCACATGGCTTTCAGGAAAACAATACCAATCAAAATCGAATTGTTGAATCCCCAAATATATTCAATCCAGCTAAATCCTCCAATTTCGCTGAAAGCTGCTCTTCCGTGAATTACATCAAAGTCATTACAAGTTCCAGGCGAAAACAACGTTCATATAAAATTAACGCCCGACTGAAAGGGTACTACGAATTAGAAACTTTCAAATAAATGTTAATTTAATCTTCAATCCGATAGACATTGTTTTAATAATGTAAATCTAGGATTTGGAAAACTTTTGGGTCAGTTTTTAACAAAATGGCCCTTGTACTTTAAATTAATAAGCTGTTTTTAAAGCTTCCATTCATACCAATTACAGCAAACGTAAATATTTGTAATCAAAACACAATCTAAAAATCTGGTATGTTTTGTAAGGATCGCACCCTATTCTCGCCCTTCCACGAGCTAACTGTGGGAATAGTAATTTTTCTCTAGGTAAAATGTAGCTTATACTCTGCGATAGATTTGATTACATATCAAAAAACTTAATAGTGTGACGTGGGACAAGGCCTTAAGAGCTAGAATCTCCAAATCGTTATAGATAATTTTGTTATGCCCTGCGCGTCCAATTCAACAATGCCTTTAGGATATTGCTGGGGCTGCCCCGACATTGTAGCGCCTCAGGGACGTTTGCAGCGCGAGGAACAGACGGCTTTGATGCTGTCCTGCGCAAGCGGGTGGCCTTCCTGCGGTCCAGAGTACGGGGCAGCACCAACACTCTCTTAAGCCATCGCCGGATACCCTCCGGTGTTTTTATCCTTGATGGCTTTACAAAAACTACATCCGCGCCGCGCCTTTTGGAGGACAAAAATACCTACAGAATTTATTAATCCTTACACTGCTAATGATGAATATTCTCTGTTACAGGCGAGAAAGAGAACAACAAGAAGGCGTGCCTGATGATCCTGCAGAAGGTGGTGGACGACCCGCAGTCCGGGTCGTGTCCCAACGTGTCGTACGCGGACGTGGCCGGCCCGGTCGCCAACTACAACCCCACCGGGTCGCCCTACGCCGTGCCCACGACCGAGGTGACCGAGGTGACTCATTCACATCATCGGCCCACTGGCGCTTGAGTGACTTGAATCTACCCGCTTTGAATCTACCTGCTTTGAGCGTTGAGACTACCTTCAATGTAATACTGACATCGCCTGGTCAAAATCAACACGCTTTGAACCTTAGAATTACCTTATTTACTGCCTACTATGTGACTACCTTCTTTTGTTACCAACTGACTCTCAACTACCCGTTACCCTACTAGTGCGACCTATTATGACTATTATGACACACTTGATAAAGAGGACAAGCAACAAGAAGGCGCGCCTGATGATCCTGCAGAAGGTGGTGGACGACCCGCAGTCCGGGTCGTGTCCCAACGTGTCGTACGCGGACGTGGCCGGCCCGGTCGCCAACTACAACCCCACCGGGTCGCCCTACGCCGTGCCCACGACCGAGGTGACCGAGGTGACCCATTCACATCATCGGCCCACTGGCGCTTGAGTGACTTGAATCTACCCGCTTTGAATCTACCTGCTTTGAGCGTTGAGACTACCTTCAATGTAATACTGACATCGCCTGGTCAAAATCAACACGCTTTGAACCTTAGAATTACCTTATTTACTGCCTACTATGTGACTACCTTCTTTTGTTACCAACTGACTCTCAACTACCCGTTACCCTACTAGTGCGACCTATTATGACTATTATGACACACTTGATAAAGAGGACAAATAACAAGAAGGCGTGCCTGATGATCCTGCAGAAGGTGGTGGACGACCCGCAGTCCGGGTCGTGTCCCAACGTGTCGTACGCGGACGTGGCCGGCCCGGTCGCCAACTACAACCCCACCGGGTCGCCCTACGCCGTGCCCACGACCGAGGTGACCGAGGTGACCCATTCACATCATCGGCCCACTGGCGCTTGAGTGACTTGAATCTACCCGCTTTGAATCTACCTGCTTTGAGCGTTGAGACTACCTTCAATGTAATACTGACATCGCCTGGTCAAAATCAACACGCTTTGAACCTTAGAATTACCTTATTTACTGCCTACTATGTGACTACCTTCTTTTGTTACCAACTGACTCTCAACTACCCGTTACCCTACTAGTGCGACCTATTATGACTATTATGACACACTTGATAAAGAGGACAAATAACAAGAAGGCGCGCCTGATGATCCTGCAGAAGGTGGTGGACGACCCGCAGTCCGGGTCGTGTCCCAACGTGTCGTACGCGGACGTGGCCGGCCCGGTCGCCAACTACAACCCCACCGGGTCGCCCTACGCCGTGCCCACGACCGAGGTGACCGAGGTGACCCATTCACATCATCGGCCCACTGTCGCTTGAGTGACTACCTGCTTTGGATCTACCCTCTTTGAGACTAGCTGCTTTAAATCTACCTGCTTTTGAGACTACCTACTTTAAATCTACTTTCTTTGTGCCTCAAGATTACCAGCGTTCAGTCTACCTTCTTTTGTTACCAACTGCCTCTATACTATCTGTTAGCCTATATGTGAGTGACTTAATAAACTGACTACAATCCGACCAGATCAGCCCACTGTCGCTTTGATACTACTTTTGAGTCTTAAGATTACCTGCTTTGAGACTTGCCTGAATCTACCCGCTTTAAGCCTCAAGAGCGTTTAATCTACCCCCTTTCCTTACCTGCCTAAGGTTCTGTTGAATAGGGTTGAATAGGCTGACAAATTAACTCAACTATGGAGACTATCATATTCTGACTACCTCTAGACTAGACTACTTCTTCTTAGCTTGATAATCATGTGACTGACTTACTAAACTGACTGCAACTTGACTGACCCAGGGCGTCCTACGCCGTGACCACTACCGAGGTTTCCTATAAGAATGGCTTAAATCTACCTGCTTGTAGACTTCTCACCTAATCTACCCACTTTGATACTACCCGCTTGTAATCTTCTTTCTTGCCTACTTTCTTCGATACTTCCTGCCTTGAATCTACCTACTACATTGCCTATTTACATACTCAGCTCGACACGCTTCGTAAAGTGACTAAATTTTGAACGGGTGACCGCTATTCACTATTAATTTACTTGTTATTTTAAAACGACATGGTTACTACGAATTTTCATTTGCTCTGTTACCGAACCAAACATTTATTCTCTGGTTTATTTTACCGCAATTTTATTTCTCTCACCGAAATATATTTTTCGACGAATAAATTGAATGCAGCGGCTGACCGCTAAATGTGACGTCGCGTTGCGGTCGCGCCGCGGCCGGCTTGTTTTAACGACCATTTATAGATGCATTACCTTGTCAATTAACAATTATTTTGGTTAACTACGGGTTTGTTAGATCGGAAAATTATTTGCGTAATTATGAATATGATGGATACTGTAATTAATGAACTAACGGTACTTGCAATTAATGGGAAAGCGTTGTTCAGCAATCCAAAATACAGGTGTATTTAAGTTGAAAATAATAGAAAATGTACATAATCTTCATCAGCTTGCCCGTATCCTAAATCAGTTGGGGGGGTCGGCGCAATATGTTTTGTGAGAACACAAAATTACGTAGTAAAAGGATTTGAGTAAGTTTTACTACCGGGCGCCTGCCTGACGTCAACCCTCTTTGGAAATGCAATTGTATACGGTTCATCATAGACCCTTAATGGGTAAGAATACTGCCACCCTGAGTAGACCAGAGGTGGCAGTATTCTTAGCTGCTACCACTCGGCAATGTAAATAAGCCAATGAAATTGGAAAACTTCATAGGCGTCAGAAAACTGACACGAATTTAAATTTAATTTGTAAGATCCATCCCCAAAGATTTTATAGACTTCCTTACCAAAGCGCTGACAATTCTACCAATGATCTTTAATTTTCGTTATGCCTATTTAGACAGACTTACCTTAATTCCCTTAATTAACCACTACGACCGTCTAAATATGATTTGAGCAAACTTCATTTCAACTAAATTCGTATTGCGTACGTACGTACGTACCTACATACGTAACGTGTGCCAACCAGTGTTTGCTGGCGGCTTAAAACTGTGTAAACGCATTCTGTGTAAAACGCAGCACAGAGTAAACCAAACGTACTCTGACAGAATGGGCTCAAAGCAAACACTTAGGTACGTATAGGGATATTAGGGGTGCTATTCTTGTAATTTTCGGTGACTATTATCTCCTCTCGTATATGAAATCGAATTAGAGATATATAGAAATGGCGTCAAGACATGATATATGAAGCTTTTTCACGCACTAGGCAATATTAGGCTAAGTCAAGTGAATTCAATTTTTTTTTTTATAAACTTATGGCCCTGCGGTCTTGAAAGCTACACCTAACAATTTGGTGGGGAGCGAGGGCTCACCCAGAAGTGTTTAGGTGGTTATTCAAAAAACACGCCCTTGGGGCGAGACTGGGCTTACGAAATTCAAGTTAAAGCTAGCTGACCCAATCATCCTTACTTGTGTTAGGTGATAAGTTTGTCATGTTT